GCACCTCCCCAGTGGGTCTTGAGACAGAAGACTTCACCCCACTGTACAGAGTCACAGTCACTTGCCCTGCGTTCTCCCAGCAGTGCAGTTCATTTGTTCTGCTCTTGAGTCCATGGACCCGCCTCTGCCTCTGCCTCTTGGTCTGCAGCATTTGTCTCCTGTTGGTTTGCTCCACACAGACTAGGAGCCTCCCTCGCAGCTGCAGACATGCCTGTAGTTTGATTGTGATGCAGTTGTAATGGGGGTGCGTGGGGGGCGTGATTCTCTCAGACAAACTGAAGCACCACCTGTCTCTACTTGAGCAGCCATCATGGCCCTGAGAGTAAAGTTCCAGGCCTTTACCTCTTACAGTGGCCCTGGCCCCTGTTGCTGGCATCTTTCATTCCTGCAGCACAGCCTTTGCTCTGAGCCTCTGCACACACTCCTCCTTCTGCCCAGAACATTCTCATGTCCACTTTCCCCCTTTTAACTCCTTGTCATCTTTGGAGACTCTGCTTAAATGCCATTTTAGCTCAGATACACATATCCCACCCCAGGTCTTGCCAAAGACCCTGACCATACCCTCCAGGGCATCATGCTTTTGCTCTTAGAATAGCTGTAATATTGATAAATATTTATAATATATTTTTATTGATTTCAGAGAGGAAGAGAGGGAAAGGGAAACATCAGTGATGAAAGAGAAGCATTAATCGGCTGACCCTGCATGCCTCCTACTGGGGATCAAGCACGCAGCCCTGGCATGTGCCCTGACGGAGAATGGAACCATGACCTCCTAGTTCTTAGGTTGTGCTCAACCATTGAGCAACACTGGCCAGGCTGATAAATACTTTTAGTTGTGAGGGAGCGGAGGGCTGGGCTTTCCCTGGGTCCACTGGTGGCAGGCTTGGCCCACCTTTGCCGGGCAGAGGCCAGGCAAGAAGGGTAGGATCCCTGGCTCCTCTGTAACCTCCACAAGAGCCAAGTCTGTCTTGCGTCACTGTCTCTCTCACCATCAACACCACTACTGGGCCAGAGAAAGGCTCATAAATACTAGGACCAGCAACAGTGGGAAGTTGTGAGCAGTTTTCACCCCGGGTGTTGGCAAATACCTTAGCTGTCTTTTGGACTTTTCCTGCAGGCTAATTTAGTTCTTCTATTTCCTGGGGACTCAGGGAGTGTAGATGGTACTGTTCCCTGTGTCTGCCCAGAGAGCAGCCTGTGTGGGGCAATGACTCAAAGGCAGTGATGGTGTATGTGTGAAAGGGGGTGTTGAGGAGGGAGTCCCTGATGAAAGGTAATGGGAAAGGGGAGCAGAAATCTGGGATTTGGTAGGTACTCTCAGGTGCTTCCTGAGTATCACTGAGAAAGAATGTGAGCAGATGCTGGCCTAGGAGCACTGGGACATAAGAGGCAGGCGTGGTCTTGGTCCTCGGGGACCTTCTGGCCTTGTTTGATCAGTATAGCCGAGGACCCTGGCTGCTCCTTCCAGGGACTCTTGTCACTTGTCATCCAGTGAACCCTCGTAGGTGCCTGGCCACATACCACTGTGACTTGATGATGGGTTTTTATGCCCCGTGTCCTAGCCATGTGGGGAGCCCTCTGAAAACAAGGCTGTTGTTACGTCGATGCCACAGGTGTTGCCGGATGTATGTGCACAGAGATCGTCAGGAATGAGCAGCTATGTGTTTGCTCTCTGCCTTCACTCTCTCCATCCTTGATGGTTTTGCTTGACTTGAGTCTGTATGAATAGTATTTAATTTGTTCATCATTAGGACAACCTCACATACCACAGATTTGTGGTCAGACCCGGTGGACACTGAGTCTGCGTTTGATCAGTTTCAGAGATGGCTAGCTCCCCAGCTAAGGCAAAAGAGAAACCACCCCAATGGTTGGATCACACATAAACGCC